TATATGTTATATATATATTATATATATATTATATATATATGTATATATATATGTTATATGTGTATATATATATACACATAATATATATATTATGTTATATGTTATATTATGTATAACAATATATAATAAATGACATGTTGTATTATACAATGTATTATTTTATTAATACATTGTATTAATACAATAATCCAATAATACATTGTATATACATGATATAATATAATAATTAATACAATAATATATTGTATATACACACTATAATATAATAATTAATACAATAATATATTGTATATACATAATATAATATAATATAATAATTAATACAATTATAGATTGTATATACATAATATAATAATTAATACAATTATAGATTGTATATACATAATATAATATAATAATTAATACAATAATAGATTGTATATACATAATATAATATAATACATTAACACAATAATAGATTACAACAATACAATAATACATTGTATTATACAATTATTAAATATTAAAATATTATGTGTATTAATACATTGTATTATACAATGTATAATAAATGACATACACTGTCATTTGTATATTGCTCGATACGTACGTTCACAAAGTAACCCTTTGCGCTCGAGGCATTTTTCTACAAAATCAAATTCAGTCCATTTTTATAATAAATTTCTGTAAAACCAAAAACATCTACGAACACTCACGACTCAATGTATTATTTCAATTAACAATTAGCTGTACTCTGATATAAGTAAAATTGAAATTGTACGTACAAAAAATCACTTTTAAATTACATACGTCGCCCTGGAAGCGCCACTCGTGCGCAAAGGGTAGTTTTGTTTGTGCTACAACCTAATCACTGGACTCATAATATTTATGTATTTATGGAAGACTTGAATGTGGAAGAAACTGCAAACTGGGCACAGTTTGTAAGAATATGAAAAATAATTGAATGTAAAGTTCGTATCGCAACATTTGCAGAGTAAAATGAATTCCTAATTAGGTTCAAGTTTTGTAGGTCTGCAAAGATTCTATTTTACGCGAAAATTCGCAGTCTACTAATCACGTTTCGATCGTTAAAAATAATTAGCAAAGTCAAAGAAAATAATTTCGTCGGGATGTTCTTTGATGCATCAAATTGTACAATTACTTTGCAAAATCAGAAGTCAAAAGTGATCGGAGATAAAGACAACTCGACGTTCAAAATAAATTAATTGAACGTGAGAAAAATTAAATAAAATTACAATAAGAAGATTCGAAGACTTTCTATGCTTTCTAATACGGTCAAGCAATAATCAACACGATATACCGGAAAATTCATAAACGTATTAACTTTCAAAATCGTGTCCTCGTAATTAGTTGTTAATTTTCGCGTCATCGTCTCCTTACATGCAGCAATAATATTTCCTTTAATAAGTAAGGTTTTTTCTGATAAAATATCTTGGAATTCTCTACTTATTTTCTACTGTACGTTTTGCTTCGACAATAAACAATTGCTTGTTTATGAACATACCAATACGTATCGGGTATTGTCCAGTATAGAATGCTGTCCTGGATGGTGTGCTAGATGGCAATACATAGTGCCTGTTCAATATGATCCCATTGTATCCAAGAGCATCAATGTTTGGCGTTGGTATCTGATTCGATCCATGAAAACCAACGTCGTTCCACCCCTACGAGATATAAAAAATTTCTTTTCTTCTCGAGAAGCTAAGCAGCCAACCAAAAATTTAAAAATTAAATCCATAGCACCGAAATATCATCCCTCTTTGTAAAATTATTTCTCGGATATTACACAACTTGTAAGAAGTCTGTTAGTATTGATTTATTACGCGAGTCGTAAAATACATAAAAATATTTCCTTCTTAATATTCTCATTGAAATGGCGGAGCTAGAACTAATCGCAGGATAACTGCAAAATAGTTCATTTTGGAACAGAGATGCAAATGATTGTATTTTCTATACTAATATAGAAACGCAAATATGTTTAAAAGATTCGCTTCGTCGAGAAATGCGACAAAAGCAAAATCTTTTAATCTGTCCGTTGGTAATGTAAAGATAAAGCTATTAATAAAAAAAAAAAGCTATTGTTAGAATGTATTTTCAAATGTAACACAAACTAAATACAGAAACGTAAGTTATATTCATTAATGTAATGTAAATCAGGGTGTTTCGTTTAGATCAGTTAAATAGTTAGAATAGTTAAATATCTCATTAAGTTATCAAAAAATGATTATACCAATAATTATTTGATATAAGGACGCATATTATATGGTGTAAATAATTTTATTGTAAATAAAGTTGTACGGAAGATTTAACAAAGAAATTATGAACGGTGTGTATGTCGGCTATACGATTCAAAATACTTTGTGTTTTTCATTAGAACTAACTGCATTTTGTACTTAATACATTAAAGGTCAGCACAGGAAGAACAACTTCGATTTCTTCAGAATTCTAAATCGATCTGTCCCCTTAATTGACCCATATACAATTCCAAATACTTTGTGTTTTTAATTAGAACTAACTGCATTTTGTACTTAATACAGTAAACGTCAGCACAGGAAGAACAATTCCAATTTCTTTAAAATTCCAAACTGGGCTGACCCCTTAATTTCGTTTTGGCGACAAGAAAATGATCGAAATAGCACCGTTCGCACGGAACTCGTGTTCCTGCGTACGTGTACTAGATGATAAGTGATTATATAATAAAATGCAACGACATAATGCAGTAATTGATATGACGGTACGAAGAAGAGGGTGATTTTTCTTTTGCGGTTACGGTGAGTCAGAAGCACTAGCACTAGCATCCTTATTAGTTGAGGGGGCGTAGATAATTTTCATGCTACGATAATTGTCTTAACTATGGACAATTTTAATTCAAAACGCTTTCGTACTACAGATTAATCGCAGTAGATTAAGCAAAACAGGCAGGTATAAGCGATACACAGACCTGAGCATTTTCGAAATGATTATGTATAAATATTATTTCAAGTTACACGTTATTTTATTTCGTTATTTATTTCATACCTGAGATCAGTTTTAAAATAATATTATTTGAAATATTATTTGAGATATTATCTCGAGTAATGTGTTATTACATCTCGTTATTAATTTCGCACTTGTTATCATTTTTGAAATGATAATGTATAAATATTATTTCAAGTAACACGTTATTTTGTTTCGTTATTAATTTCATGCCTGTGATCAGTTCTCAAATGATATTATGTAAACATTACGTCAAATAGCATATTTTATTTTATAATTATTTGAAGTAACTGTCAAATTGTTCGTTAAAATTATTTTCAGATAAAAATCAAATTGTCAGATGAAATCACAAGTATCTGACAATTTCAAAATTGAAAGCAATAAGGGTGAAATAGCAAGAAATTCCACACTTGTTATGTAAACGCAAAAAGAAATAAATGTTTTGACGTTTTTGCAAAATAAAATGACTGATTCGTCTATGTGAAACGGTTTTACTAAATTATGAAACATTTTGCACTAATATTAGATGGACCAAAAAAAAAAAAAAACTTAGATAATAATGACATTATTTTAAAAATTATTTCTTTTGTTAAATTTGAAATAATAAAACAACCAAATAATTCGTCATTTGAAATAGCTATCATATCAAATGAATTAGTATTATCTTTATTTTCAAATCACTACATTGAAAGTAACAGTTCAAATTTAATTGTTTCAAATAGTTATTTATTATTTTCATTCCAATCAAAATTGATCACTTTTGTATTCAGAATACGACATTCCATAATCCGTTAAAAAATCAGAATTATCAGAAATCTCCTCTACAACTCTGCATATGTGAAAACAATTTATAGTAAATTATGTATCTATTTAAAACATACAAATTTTGTAGAAAATATTTTCGCATATATACTGTTTGAAGTAACGAAGACATTCAAGTGATCAGAGTTCGTAGACAAATTGTATATTTAATGTTTAAAATTGAAAAATCACGTCATCACAATTTTGAGCAAGTATTACTTTGACACTTGTGAAATTTATTACTTTGGTTGAAAAAAGCTCAGTTCGAGGGTGGTTAAACGGAGAAACTGTAGCATGAACAGCATTGGCCTAAGCACCAGCCATTGGGCTGCAATTAACAACCTTTCGAGGTTTACATTCATGACTAGACTGCGGATCTTTATGCATTTATAGGAAATTTGAATGTGCAAGAAACTACAAATCGCACGAATATGCAAGAATTGCAAACAGTATGAAGCAAGAATATAAAAAAGATTGAAAGTAAAGTTCACATTATAATATTTGCAGAATAAAATAAATTCCTATTTAGGTTCAATATTTGTAAGTAAAATTTATTAGTAAGTATAATTTATTAGCAAGTATAATTTATTTATTTTACATAAAAATCCGCAGTCTATTCATGACAAATTAAAAAATTAATAATGTACTACTTTGGACAATATAAAAATGTACAAAAGATCGACTCATCACTCGGTAAACAAATTGTTATATTCAATGAAAGGATAAAGACGACAGTCCATAAAACAGTGCAAAGCATAATTATTTACATTCCAATGAATCTCTTGCCATAGGTAGACTTTTGAAATCTCGAATAAAGGTATTTTTAAATAAATATATGTTTTATCTTTTCATATCTTGGTGCTAGCAGTTTGAATCTGTCTGGGAACATAAACAGAATTCGTTAAACATTGAAATAGCAAAGACCAAGAAAAATCTCTATTATCAACGTTCACATTTCCGATCGAAAGGAATTAATAATAATCTTACCAGATCGTCAGCCATAAACACGATAATGTGCGGCGCTGTTTCGTACAGACCAACCGCGTAACCGACACACAACATCAGATGCAACACGGATGTATTTATCCAAATCGAGGAAAAACGACACATCTTTCACCAAGAGAGTAAAAAGAGCACAACAAAATTTGGCGCAAAAGAGGGTTTCAGAGAGAAAAAAAAAAAAGAAATGGGAGACCCGTGCGCGAAGGGAACGCTTCCTTTATACCACTATCAGCCACGACTCGCGGAGAAGAACCGTCAGAGCATTGCGCGGTTTGTTTATCACAGAGCTCCTGCGGAATACAGAAGAATGAGGAACAGAAATAAACACGTTTATATAGTCCACCCACGAAGAAACATGTCATGAATAGACCACATGAAAGGGAAGGGAAAATACACTGATAATTACGGCAATAAAGGGAGGTACGTGTTTCAACTGGGTTGCTTCTCGTCTTACATCCCATTTTCCGTACTTATGTAATTGCCTATCTGCGTACGAGCCGTACGCGTGATCATACGATCGTGTCGTACGATTTTTATTAGACCGAACTTGCGTATATTAACTCTTTGGGGCACGGTGCGATTCAAAGTCATCCCACCTTTTTGATGGACCGAAACGCATGGTGGGACATTTTTAATCCCACCTCGAAATTTTGCAATAGCTGCATGTGTATAGGTTTATATTTCGTCTTATTTACGTAAAGCAGTTGGTAATATATTCATCCAACGTTACAAATGTATGCACTTATGTTGGCAACTTTCAACATGCTAATACCGGTTCGACAATTGCTGTAAGCGGAAGGTTCATTGCGATAATATTTCTTTCCTGGTTTTATGTGAAAAATCGTAGAGGTAAGTTAATTTATATAAAAATTAGTTCTATATAAACAAGTGAAGCGTTTTATAATAAAAACTAAAGATTGAATTTGTTTGCAAATGATGAAAATATGGTGGGATTTTATTCGTCTCACCATGCAACTTGAGGAGTAATACAAAAAAAAAAACATATTTTTATTTATTGTTTATGTTTCAATATTCTTAAAACTATAAATGTGACGCCCCTTGTTATTAGATTTATTTTGTTGCATTATGTGATACCTTTATTAGCAAGGATATAACAATTTTGTTTGATTTAAAACGCAATAAAATTCCTGTGCAACATTTTATGACCTGAATTCCTGTGCCGCAAAGAGTTAACAAAGGTAATAACGGGAAAAGTTCAGTTTAGGACGATGAAATTGAGGCTTTTTTTTACAGATCCTTTAAAAATAATGTATGAAGGGGGTAGTTCGGTTCAGCAGGTCGAAAAAATCGACTTTTTTAAATATATACAGGATATGTCCCAAAAATGTTGTAACATCTTCAAAGGGGTGGTTCGGGAGGTAATTTCATTGAGATCGAACTGCAACATAACACCATATATTATTATATTGGGTTGTCCGGAAAATCTATGTCGATTTTTGGTAGGTGGTACAGGTCTGAATATGTCGAAGTGGTTGAAAACAAATAACATGTATACATCCCTTAAAAGGTGGAAAGGTTGTGGAACAAAATGGCACCTATGTAGTTCAATAAATACATATTCAAATTCAAACGTGTTTTTACATTTTTCTTAGAAATTGGCACGAACTTTTCGTACAACCTAATATTTACTAGAAATATTTAACCATAAATTTAAAACGCTATATTCCTGTTAGATGCGTTGTTGTTTGAAACAAAAGTTAAAAAAATTCAAATGACATCCTATCGGCTTAACATCGTTTATTAACATTGAAAATTTAAATTATATTCTCACGTATATGAATATATAAATAAATTGTAAATAAGTTAAGTGGAAGTTAAATTAATTCCTACATACTACTATTGAAAGCACGAAGGAGGATTGATCTTCGCGAAAATTACGGAGAATATTCAAGAACAGCAGTTCTTCGAAGAGTCTGAAAAATTTAGTTTACAAAAATTGTTTTAAAAAACAGGTTTTTAAATTCGCGGAGGACGTAGCTCGCCGAATTTTCATCCGACTCACTTAAATCAAAGCCTAAATTGAAGATAATTAAGTTTATATGAATATGAATCTCGACTCTTCGTGAATTCTTATTATAGCATAAGGTTATTACAAAATAACTGCCAACATTTTCTGCCAACTGTCTATTTTCGTATTTTATCCACCATTCTTGCAATTAACAATTTCTTTATGCAAATTTCTTTAATTTTATCGATCTAATCATAAATGGTAATCAACGCCCTCGGCGGCAAAACGCTCAAGTTCGTCATCAGTGATTAAATTTTACCGGTAAAATATATATTTTACTTATTTTACCAACACATTTATTACTTACAGCTGGTAAGTTACCGACCAATTAACCATAAGAGAATTATAACGCATCAGAAATATAACGCGAGTTATATAAATTTTAGATAGTATCTTGTAATACAACACTTCTAATTCAATTATTTTCAAAAGTAATTAAAAATAAAACATAGAATTTTCTTTCTAGTTCAACTTGCATTACCGACAAGTTTGCGTTATTGCAAATAGTGAGTATAGGTTTACAGTCTGATTATACAGACCCAGATACATACATAAAAGCAGAGAAATGTTTAAATAATATATTGTAGTGTTATAAAGCATAGAATCGTATTGATTATGCGTTTATGAAAAATAAAGAATAACTACAAAAGCAGTGACAACTACTTTCAGTACAAGCTTTGCCGTTTTCCCACCGATGGCGCCATGGTACTAAAATTAGAATTAGTGTAGTTGAATTGTTGGTAAAATTTATAAGCTCGTCATGCTTTATAAACTTATGCTTTATATTTGATCAATACAATTTTTTGTTTCACCTAAAAATATAATCATATAAATAGCAACTATATTTAGAGCTGAAAAAAAAAACATTGCGATGAATGCAGATGAAATAAAGGATATGACGTCAAAGTCAGCTGATGGCGAGAAGTTGGATGCAGTTATCTGTCAAGACGCCATTGTTATTGTGAAAATTTGTACTGTGTTCTACTGCAATCAGTGTTGATTGTCCTTCCACTTGTCGCGTTTTGAAATTAATAATAGCAATTTAAATTACGAGTTTCTTTATACCGTTCAATAAATTGAACGGATAGAAAACCTAATAATGGGTCTCATTTGTTCAACAGCGCAGGTAAATAAATTGTAAATACACACTCGATTTTTATTTTCAGGATGCATCTTGAAGAATTAATTCAATATCTTTGTGAAAATGTCTTGATCTGACTCATTTTCTCTGTTACTCTTAGTTATTGCGTAATGCTAATTTTTTTGTCTGACAAACAAAGATTAGTGGGAACTCCAATGAATCATCAAATTTAATTATGGTTAATTGATTTAAAGTTAGATTCTATTGACTCTCTTGAGAGCACTGACATAAGAAGCATATATATTTTCCTCAAAGCATGCAAACTTTATTGCGTTAAAGAACTATTGTTTTTCTATGTAAAATAAATAGAATTAACTATTAACATAGATTGAGAAAGACTTTAACTTTATGCGAAAATGCTTTAAATTATATTAATACACAAACATAGTTGTTCTACTAAGATGAAATATTCTTTTAATTATAACTTTTTGAGACTCACAATTTTTCATATTTTTAAATAGTAATAATAAATTATTAACTTTTTGAATGTAGGGCTTATATATTTAGTAAATTTCATTTAACATTACAATTATTTTGTTTATTGAATCAATGTATAATTGATATACAACTTTGTGTTAGATTGTTAATTGTAACTATAATTGAAATAAATAAACACTATGACATGCTGTGATGTTTATTATTTTTTCATAGCAATTCAGTTTTAGTTTCATCCGAATGACCAACATTTAACTGTTGACGTACATGCAATATACATATAATTAAAATATACACAGCTAAAGGGTTAATATATATGATTATCATTACATAATTTACACTTTGTTATATAGCTTGCCTGCCTGTGCAGCAGCACAGCCTGCAGTTTCTGTTGTTCTCAATGTCCATCGTGTCGCAACAGCACGAGTACTCGTATTATGTATGCATTATTATTAATGATAGGAACTATTGCTGCTTGCATTACATTGGCTCCTGGTTTGCAAGATGCGCTTAAAAAGGTAAGATTTCAAAATGTGCAATAAAACAATTTAATTTTAATTATAAAGAAGAGTTTGCTATATCTAATTTGTCTTCCATAGGTACCATTTTGTGCTAATAGCACAAACTATGTTCCATCGAAATTCACTATTGATTGTGAGTCCGCTGTTGGATATTTAGCAGTGTATAGAATATGTTTCATCATAGCTTTGTACTTCTTTTTGATGTCTGTTATGATGATCAGAGTAAGAAGTTCTAAAGATCCCAGGGCACCTATACAAAATGGGTATGATAAAACAATATAAAGTATTTTTTATATTAAGGATTATTTGTGATATGTAACTTTGTATTCTTAGATTCTGGGCTATTAAATATCTTCTAATAATCGGTGGAATAATTGGCGCATTTTTCATACCTGAAAAGTCATTTGGAACAACATGGATGTATTTTGGAATGATTGGTGGCTTTCTTTTTATTATTATTCAATTAATTCTCATAGTTGATTTTGCCCATTCATGGGCAGATGCTTGGGTTGGTAATTATGTGGATACAGGATCAAAAGGATGGTACTTATAACCTTATGTACTGTTATAACTTCTTTAATTTTTAATAAGTATAAATAGCTAAATATATATAAATATACTAGGTATGCTGCACTATTAGGAGCAACGTTGTTTAATTACGCTGTTTCTATTACCGGAATTGTTTTACTTTTTATATACTTTACTCACGTAAGTTTTTAGACTATATAATTAAAATTTATTGTACTATTTAATTTTCCTGTTATTATTACACGTATTTTTTATTACAGCCATATACCTGTGCCTTGAATAAATTTTTCATATCCTTCAACCTAATCTTATGTGTAATTGTTAGTATCATATCAACTCTACCAGTTGTACAAGAACATTATCCACGTTCTGGTCTTCTTCAATCGTCTATTGTTTCCTTGTACGTTGTTTATTTAACATGGAGTGGAATTTCAAACAGTCCAGGTATGCACTCCATTTCAAATAGATATGTACAAAATTTTAGCAATATTCATTCATTTCGATAATAACAATTGGTGATTCTGTTTACAGATAGTGAATGCAATCCTGGATTCCTGAAAATGTTTTCTCCTAATGATACCGATGCACGTAATCGCGTATCTTTCGATAAAGAAAGTGTTATTGGTTTAGTCATCTGGTTTAGTTGTGTATTGTATAGTTCTTTGCGTACTGCATCCAAATCATCAAAACTTACAATGTCCGAGAATGTTTTGGTCAAGGATAATGGAGCAGGTATGCCGAAAATAATTTACGTTTTATTTAAAGCTAATTCGTGCTTTTAGAAATTAAATAATTTAATAATATGTGTACTTGTGCACTCATATAAACATTAACTTACTTTCATTCTTAACTTAACTTTCATTTGTTTGCCATATATTAAAAGATTGATCAAAATCTCTTTAATAAATTATTGTGCTTTCTTCATACAGTTAGGAACGCAGTTGACCAGAGTCTTATCGACAACGAAGGTAGGCACACACTATTACCTTAAAGTAGAACTTCAACGTAATTACCCTGATCATTTACTTTTCATTACTGAGAAATGTAGGCATCACATTGTATGCACAGTATGCAAATTTACGTACCCGCAAAGATTAGTTTATTAGTTTTCAATATTTTGAAATACAAAGTATCCGTGACAATATTTTTATAGGCAGTATAGAGGGTGTTTCATAACCGATAGTACAATCAAATAGTTTGTGATTTTATCTGAAAAATGAAAATATAGAAAATATTGAAAATATAGAATTATATTTATTCATATGGTATCTCGTTTTTGAGAATTCTTTGAATATTTGTTATACACTTGATTTACAAACTTATTGATAACAATATGGAGTCTCAGTGTTTGCCATTTTGTCGGTGTGATTATGTACGATAATCGATTAACGAAATCTTTTTCTATAATGGAAGTTACTATTAAAAGTGTCCATTTGTAGTGGAAAATATCTATTTTAATATTTTAAAAATTATAAATGGAAAAAACGCTGTAATTTAATCAATCACAGTAATTTAAAACAAGCAACATTTACGCGGCAAACGTTTAAAGTGATTTGGTTAAAAACGAAAAAGAATTAATTCCACATTTTTTATTTATTTTTTAATGTATAACCATGAAATTCCCAGTTGTACTATCAGTATGGGACACTGCAGGTGCTTGGTAGTTAATGTGTGCCTGCTTCATTGTCTTATATGTTTTATACATTCATTTGTTTGATTTTAACTTAAATTTTTCATTGAGAACTTCATTACTGTTTCCAATGCAAATGTTTTATGACTAATATTTCATGTTTTTAATATGTATATATAGGTTTGATGTCGCATCAAGTTTCATTTTTTCTTATCAGCTTTTGTTTGTATAAAGATTGTAAACTGCTTGGTACAAAAGTGCATTTTGATATACAATTTAACCTTCTGTAATTAAATTTTGGAAAAAAGGACTTTCAAGTTTTTAATTTTTATTTTTAAAACTAAACATCAGATGAATAAATTGTACATTTAAAAATTTCTCCGAATCTATTTTTTAAGGATGGTAATATACGCAATTCGCAATCAAAGGGTTAATGGCAGTGTAGAAATATCCATTTCCAATTCGACTAACTATCAATAATTAGATCGATAATTTGTTTAACCAACGACTATTTTATTATGGATAAAAATGTATAGTTTCATTTAAAAAAGTTCATTTTTTTGTTAAATCCCCCACCACTTTACTTACAAAAAATTTATTTATATCATATAATTTTTCTCTTTGGGTCAAATAACTTTTGTAAAGACATTTTTTTGATATCTTTATCCTCTCGTGAGATATTGAAACATTCTGCTTTAAATGAAACAGTCTGTATATTCGAATACTTGTGAAGTACAAATAGATAAACAAGAAGTCCAAGTTTTAGTGGAGAGAAGTATTCTGCTGTTGGTTATATTGTATAATAAGTGATCTATGAATGTCCAGCATTGTACCAAAAGGTTTATGACGAAGTTTTTATGTGTATAAGTGCATCTAATAACATTTGTTATTACTGCTATGCCGCTAATTCTAATAGGAACGATTAGGAAAATAAAGATTGCATTGTAGACACTTTCTTTTAAGTTCTTTTCCGTTTTCCTAAATGTAACTAGATTATACTCCAGTAGAAGGCCGTAATCCTGACGCAGAAAGTGGAAATGAGGCTAAAGTATGGGATAATGAAGAGGACACGGTAGCTTACAATTGGAGTTTCTTCCATCTCATGTTTGCTCTCTCCACGCTATATGTTATGATGACACTTACTAATTGGTACCAGTAAGTATTTGCCATCATTTTTTCGTAAAATAGATTGCAGTAAGAAGTTCAGTATACATATGTAGAAATAATTTTATAGACCAAATTCCGATTTGAATACTCTGAACTCCAATGCTGCCTCAATGTGGGTAAAAATTATATCCTCTTGGATGTGTTTGGGACTGTATGGATGGTCATTGATCGCTCCTGCAATATTGACAAATCGAGATTTCTCTTAAATATAGAAATATCGTCACAAAACGTGGAGAGTGGTAATTAGCAGGTATACAAATCTATATAATATAGAATAATTAGTATTAAAACAATTCTCAAACTCATATATACATTTTTTTTTTTTTGTTTTGAGCTTCCATATAAATGTTGCATTTAAATGATACATATTTATGGAAAAATTGATTATTTTTTAAATTGTTTCAAGCAGTTATAATATGTCTTTTAGAATTAGTTTATTTCTTTATAATATTTAACTAACAGTATCACATTATAATTATAAAATTAAATGCTACTATAATTAATGATTACTTAACATAAGTATATATTATGTAACAAATAATTATATATTGTATCGGACAATTCCGCTTTTAACTTCTATTGCACATAAAACTGTTCTAAAGGTAAGACTTTTCTTTATAACGAATAGAAATTTAGGATTATAAATATCTCTAATGAACTTAATTATATTTAAATTGTTTATGGATTTTATTATATATTTGATTAAGCCTTATTAAACACTTCAATATTATTAGTTTGTATATTTATTATATTTTTTGTTACTGTAACAATTGAAATGTATATTTTTATATTATTTGTTCTTTTGTTTGATTTATATTGTTTCTTTTAATTTCAGTTTTTGTATACCCTGAATAGTTAAGACTGTTATAAAAATATCTATACAAAGTTATATTATGATCTCTATAAAGTATTGATACTCGATGTATGTTTGCATACATATTAAATTAATGCAAACGAATACTACTATGGACGCAGCGATACCAAAATAACAACTGTTTATAAATACAATTATGTCTTACTTAAAAGATTAGGTTGAATCGCATTTTCCTCTATTTTACAATAATATATTTGTGCAGAGCAACTGTAATAAATACATTAATATAACATATTTCACATGCTTGAATTTGTTCTTTTATCGGTTACAATATTACAATTATGAAAATACCCCGTCCCGCTTAAAAAACAGCCGATGACCTTGAAAACTCGGAAAATAAGACCTTGTGAAAAAATGCTCTTATCATTACACGCGCCTTTCCCAACAATGTAATTTTTACATGCCACTTTGTACTTTTGACTAGACAATATAGTCCGTGTCAAGACAAATTCAATGACCTTGGGATGACCTTGAAGGCAAAATTCAGTTTTTTAAATAAATAAAAGAAAGCTGGAAAAAGTTGCGTCATATCTCGGAAAATCGCTCAACTTTGTCGTGAAATAGTTCGCACCTCACGTCGCTAGATGACGCCACTAACATGAAAAATATTCTAAACCTAAATTCCTTACTTTTTTCTGCATACAAATGTAATTTTACATTCTTACTACCATAACTCAACTTTTAGATGTTCGTGTGTACACTAATAATTGACTGATATAACATTTTTTTAAATAAATAGAGAAAGGGTAACGTGTTGCACCATCTAGCGGTATTAGCTGGGAACTATTTCGTGACAAACTTAGGCAGTTCGCACAGAGATGGCGCTACACTTTCCGTTTCCTTTAATTTATTTACACACAATTGTTAGTGTACAAACGAACATCTAAAAGTTGAATTATGGTAATAAGAATGTAAAATTACATTCGTATGCAGAAAAAAGTAAGGAATTTAGGTTTAGAATATTTTTCATGTTGGTGGCGCCATCTAGCGGCGCATGGTGGGAACTATTTCACGACTAACTTGAACGGTACACCGATAGATGACGCCACAATTTCCGGTTTCTTTTTTTATTTATTTGAAAACAATTATTAGTGTACAAATATACATCTAAAATCCGAAATATAGTAGTAAGAATGTAAAATTACATTTATATGCAGAGAAAAGTGAAAAATTTAGGTTTAGAATATTTTTCATGTTAGTGACGCCATCTAGCAGAGCGAGGAGGGAACTATTTCACGACAAACTAGGGGATATGCCGAGAGATGGCGCCGCAGGTCTCTTTTTTTTAATTATTTAGAAAACGATATATCAATCAGTTATTAGTATACAAATGAACAATTAAAAGTTGTATTATGATAAGTATGATATAAAATTACATTTATATGTAGCGAAAAAGTAGAGGATTTTTTTCTTTTTTTATTAGGGATATCTAGTCCTGTTGTAGAACTATGTGTCTTTTAGATATTTACATGACGAGAACATTTATATTAACTTATATATAATTTACATTTGTAGGATTTACATGTTTAGATACATATAAATATACAATAAATATGCATAAGTACATATACATATACACCTAGTGTTATACCTGTACATTTCAGTTACGTATGTCAAAATTGAAATTGTTACTGGAAATTGTTACTGTTTAGGAATAAGTCTGCGTCCTTCCTGAGTTTGATTTTCACATGTGCAGGCTGTGTCTCCGAAAAGGTTATTTAATATAATTTAATGTAAAGGAAATAGAAATTTAATATATTATTTAATATAATTTAATATAAAGGAAATAGAAATTATTTCATACTCTTTAGTGGAGTTTTAATGTTTTTCGAACTTGGTTATATTTTTTCCAAAAATTATTTTATTTCTTATACATTTTTTTTATAAAACTAAAAATAACAAAGATGTTTGGGTGTTTTTATTTAAACGCTCCAACCTGTATACTGTATATCGTCGACCTCCACCCCCACTCCCCTTCCTACTTAGATTCTTATTCCTCTCCTCTTTCGCCCTTCTCCTTAACCTTCATTACACCTTCCCCTCCTCCCACGTCAAATTCTCCCCTCCATCTCTCTGTATACCTTCTCTAATAATTAGTATTAGAGACAGAAATAACAGCGATAATAATGAAAAAATAATAGTAATAACAAATATGTGTTATTAATTTGTTAATAATTTATGTGTATACAATTTATACATATAAATGCCACCTTACAGTCTTCAACAGTGTCTGATTGATTTAAACTTCTATTTTCTAACAGTAATTATCTGTTATTATAAACATTTTTTAAATACATATTTTACCGTATATTTCAAGTACGTAATAAAAAGTATGCCTTTAAATAAATAACACTGTACTAAATTATTTAGGTACACATTTTTAAACATAGTATAATATTTACCGTTTATAGAATGTTTCAAGTATATAAAATAAAAATTACAAAAATATATATTATTTACAAGCACTTATACAAACTTAATATGACAATATTTATATAAATATAGCTTTCCTTAGCTATCATATACATTATATATGAGGGCAAGCCACGGGAATTAATTTTACTAATAGTAAAATGAACATTTCAAATACTATTTACAATACCTTAAATCACTGGGTGTCAAATTAAATGTATTCGCTGGGAGCGTTATTGTAATTTCGTCTTTGTTGTAGTTTCGGAGACGCGTTTCTTTAACAAGTAATTTTTAATATTTTGGCATGGTGTGTCAAAGAGCAACGTGAGGGTGACCGACAGAGTAATGATACATAAAATCTCATTGAGATTGAACTGCAAAATAACAATATATATTATTACATTTACTAGCATATATATAGTTTTATTATTATTATATTATTATATTTTATTATATATTATTATTATATTTAGGTAAAATCACAATATAGCAACTTACTTGCATGCTAAGGAATTCAAAATATGCAGCATTTCGGGTTCTTCCAACGTTATAAAAGTATACCGGAAATTGTGTTAAATATAATGCATAACTTAGCCTTGTAGTGATCAAAAATCCCCTCCATGCTAAAAGTCGACTGAACCAGCCTAGAATTTGTAAAAATGCATTATGGAAACGTTATTACTTGCGTAAAACAATGGAGTTTAACTCCCCCCGCCCCTATGCGTTATACGAAGGCGTGGCCTTAAAATGCAAATCGTGGAAAGAGGAAGTAGTCGCGTGGAAGGGGAAGGAGTCGAGTGAGGGGCCCCTTTTGCAAACTCTACTGGCGTAATATAATATACAGGGTGTCCCAAAAATGTTGCAACACCTTGGAAGAGGTGGTTCGGGAGGTGATTTGAAACAACTTTTTCCTTTGTGAAAATGTTGTCCGAGGCTTCCTTAAAGAGATATTAACAGAAAACCCCGACCAATCAGAGCGCGCGTATACCGTTGGAGCGGCGGCGGTAGCGTAATGAGCGCAGCCGCTTAGCGCGCAGTCTACGCCCCTGTGGGCGTTCCATTGGCGTACTCGAGCTCTGATTGGTCGGGGTTTTCTGTTATTATCTCCTCAACGAAGCCTCGGACAACATTTTTGCTAAGGAAAAAGTTGCTTCAAATCACCTCCCGAACCGCCCTATTTAAGGACTTCCAACATTTTTGGGACACCCTGTATAAACATTTCTTCATGTTAAATTGACATAATACGAAATAATAATTACCATTTGTATTTTTACTATGATGCATCACAGTTACCCAAGCAAAGAGAGCACACCAACCAATAGGAGCGAATGCATTATACAGTGCTGCATGCATCGGATTGTAGATGTAATCTATAGATCCCATGTGTGCTGGGCCAAAAAATGCACAGCAAAACATTATCGTGCATAGGATCCACCCGGTGTATAAAGCTGTCTAAACAGATGTGGAAGTAATCTAATTAAATACAAGTAATATAAATTAAATTTTATTAATTTATATAATTATCCTACTTACCCTGTTCATTTTGTAATCTTTAGGCATGTATCTTAATAAATAACCCATAAATATTCCTATTATATAGACTGTTAATCTATGCGACGGTAGGGTGTACGAAAAATCCGCGGTATCGAATAATTGTTTTATTCTGTAAATATTGAAATTCTATTAAATGGGTATATTCTAAAATTATTTCTGTGCGCTCTGAATATAATTTTTTAATATATTTACTTACGATGTACCGAAGAACACATAATTATTTAAGTGTTTATGATACGTTACAAAATATCGTAGCGCTGTCGAAATTAAAGCACAGAAACTGAGAACAACGAATCCAGTTTTTGGTTTTTTAAAAAGAAGCAGTACCATTAGAGGTGAAAGGACAAACAGTTGAGTGTCTATACCTAAGTGATGCGTGTGGGTAAGACACTAAAATCAATAAAAATATTTATTTTTTAAAGTATTATTTAGCGTGGTTTACTCGTTGCTGGTATAAAATAAAAATATCGTTTACGCACTATCGATTCAAATCCAAAGTAATTATGAATAAATAGAAAATTTCTCCACCATGTTCTTTTGCATATATTTGCATGTTCGTTCACCACTAAATTCCATTGTGGTCCAGACCCGGTGTAAGGTATCACGTAAATACAAAGCAGCATCAGTGCTGCTAACGGTGGTATTAATCTGAGGAAAAAGTATTATTTTGTTAAGTAAAACATCCTGAGATAGGGTTTGGTTTCTCATTGCGAGTTTAAATAATATTTGCTACAATATTTTTAATGCTTTTTGACTATTTTTAATTCTAATGCGAATAAATGATTTTAAGGTGAATTAATGTGCAGGATAAAAAAATATCCAACATTCTTTATTTACCACTTTTGTAACCACCTTTATCTCGGAACTGATAGTCGTTTTTTTAGGAGTAATAATCTTCTTTCGCTTTTAATCAGTGTAATACAGAGCTTTGTTTTATTTTAACACCTGCTAATTATAACACTAATTGTCTGGATTTGTCCAAACCTGACATCATCAAATTCTAACAGTACATTCTCGAATAGTTCAAAGAAATGGACGATAGACAAATCACTAGTAATAGCAATAGATTTTATATCATTGATTTTTTCCAGCAGTTTGCAATAAAAAATTATTTAAAGATTTAATTTGATTCAATAGGAATCTTGAGAATATACTACTTTACGCATTTTATACGTCGTTAGATGAAATCTAGGCTTGTAATAATACGTTCTATAATGTTTACTTGAATTTAAATTTTATAAAGAATATAAAAACAAAAAACAGTATACAGGGTGT